TGTGCCAAAAATACTATTGCTTATGGGTGTAAATCACACAACAGCCACCACATCATATTTCTGCAAACAGGCATGAGTTATGTCACTGCTATAGTTGCTCCTGTAATTATAATGACTTCTGAGCATAGGGATTTGTGCAAACATTTTGACTTCTAAGAAATTTCCCTCCGTTCCTAAATATTTGTCTTTTTAGGGATTTCAAATGGACTACCACATACGGATGTATATAGACATTATAGTGTAGATTCACTCATTTTGCTCCGTATGTAGTCACTTGTTGAAATCCCTAGAAAGACAAATATTTAGGAACGGAGGGAGTAGTTCTTTTTCTCTAAATAATGTGTTATTAACTGAGATAAGGCAACACCTTTTGCTTAGTATTCTGCACAAAAATACTTGTGTAGCCTTTTTAGTTATTATGTCATCAGATGGTTTGGCCAGGCAGTGGACTCCCAGTATTTATTGTAATATGCAGGCTTCCATCCCCAGTGTATGTATGTATGATGTATCGTAGCTTGTTGGTCATAGTTCAATCGTGTTTAAATGACGACACCATTGCAAATAGTTGTGAAAAGCCAAATCCTTGCTGTTGGTCATGGATTGGAACTTCTAGAAGTGTACTGCTGGGTGGCGTTCCATATTGTTAAGACCGAGGAAGCTGAAGGCCTTGCAGGTATGTCTTTGTAAGAGATAGTTCACAATATATTACATGCAGATTCATGTTGTAGCAATGTGGTTGAGGATATTCCGTTCCAAAGTATTTGTTGAAGTGTGTTGCAGAGAATTTATGCTTAGCAAATCTACCTTTATGCATAATCCTTATCACTTCTTGCATGGATTAAAGTATTAAACTAGAAATGCGTGCTACCAAGGCTAATTCTGTGATATACAACTATCCATACACATGAAGATCAATCATTTTCTTTTGTAATGTTTTGGTTCTGAATGAATATGCCTTTTCCATTTGAACTTGCATTAATTGGATTTCTAGTGACATGTAATGCTACAATTGATCATTTTAGTCAAAGTTATTGCTTCGAGTTGGTTGTAGATGTGTTTGTACTGATTTGTCTGTAGCTAAAAGGCCTTATCTGGTTCTGGTAACAAAACAAACTGGTCCACGGGGATGGGTTGCGGGCAAGGTAATTTTTTTACCAATCTTATGCCATCGTCTGCATCTCCTTTTCCTTTTTGTTATCATTAACCTGCTGTTCTTTTTTGCTGTTGGTATACATGACCATGTTATTCTGTCCATAGTTTCAGTTGCATTATGTAGTATTGTGAGAAATTAGTGCTCTAGATATTGCTTGATTCTTCAGTAAGCAAGTTTACTTCCAGAAGCTCAATCCCTCACCTGACTGGTTTCCGTGTGCACCCAAAACATGCTTTAACCACAGATACAGTGATACACCGATAACAAAATGCTTTCCTGTCCACGTATGTGAAGTCTAATTGTTAGTGTTCATCGCTGGTTTAATGTGAGAGCAAACAAATTGATGTGTGAATTATTGTCTATGTTTGTCCCGTTTCCATCTTATCTAATTTTCTCTCACCCTGCCCTGCTAGAGCTTGCTTGAGGTGTTGTCATGTCATATTGAAGCTAACACACACCAATGGCATGTTACCTGGAGCAAAGTGTTCATGTACATTCAACTTATCTTGGCTGTAGGTAGGCAGTGTAGCCATTTCCACCACTGATCATGATGAGTGGTCTCAACTGTTTTTTGACTGTACATGCATGTTTCTTATTGGTGTAGAGTGGAGTTTAACTGAACAACGTTGGTCCTGTAGAAGTAAGCGATGGCATCATATATGTATCTTTGGAATGACATCATATATGTTGCATTGTTTCGATCTTATTCATCCTATCATCACTTCTTTTGTATCAAATTTTCAATGCATACATACGTATGTCCTTTTTTTTGAGTGGTACATACGTATTGGATAATTTGGATACTACTACTAACTGACATGATCGGTTAATTTGTTGCGACTTGCCTTGACCAACTGCACTGCACTGCACTGAGGCTTTCTGATGGCAAGCTTCTGCTGTTTTATTCCTTCTTTTGCATTCAGTATTAGCTGCCTTCATGTATAGCTAATATTTGCATTGCAAGTGTTTCTCTTGACACTAATGGTATTAATCAGAAGTTTGCTATTAAATCTATGATGATACTCTCCATACTTTGCCTCGAGCTTTTGGTGCTCCTAAGTTCTACTTGAATGGATTGGAGCATACAAGACATTGTTGATATATTATAGCAACAAAAGGGGTGATGCTACAGGAAAGTCTGTAGTCAGACATGAGTCACATAACCACACATGTATAGATGATGAACAGGTGATCTCTACGTACGACTGCTGATGGCGAACGACGTGCGATGGCGAGTCTCCTACGCCGCCGACCTCGTGACCGGCAAGCTTGCCTTCTCTGACGGGATTCTTCTCCTCAAACGAGAGGCTCTCCGTCTGGTGCTGGTGGATGCACGCGGCGTCACGATCGATGCGCGCTTCTTACGGGCCGGTGAGTCCGTTGACATCGGAGACATCGTATCCTT